AAACACATCGTTCAAACTACGTTTAGTTACTCCCTGGTTGAAATAGTCCCTCATTCTGTATCAATACTGTTGTTGGCTTTGTTGTGTGTTTCACACATTAATTCAAAAGCATTGCCATTTTGTATTTTCAGGTTGTTAGTAGCGTGGAGCAATATTTGAAATATATTGTCCTTTAAGTGGTTTAGCTAGAGGGAATTAACACACTCCCTATCTACGGTTTTCTGTCTTATATAACTAAGCAAAAAAGAAATACAGTAGGAAAAGATTGATCTACCTTGACCCTGGAGCTTCAGTAAGACCACGAAGAAAAATGAAAAGGAATGGAGGAGTAGAAAAAAGAAGGACACTCGAACTGAAGTACAACTCTGAAATACAAACCACAACATAGATCGGACCCTCCCGAGGAGAAGACAAATTGGAGATCTGGAGAAAAAAAGGTGAGAAACAACTGTATAAAATATACAAACATATTCCACTTCACATATCTTGTATTAATAATCGATAATTAAAGAAGAGAAGAGACTCGTTAACACCAATATGACAAAAATAAGAAAATATTGTCTGTCATATAAAATAGAACATATAGATATTATGTCTACATATATATAGCGTTTGAACAGACCCACTAGACGATTATCCAGAATACATAAAAGATATATAAATGATTATAATTACCCTCCCACTGCCAGCATAGGATATTACAAGAGAAAACAAATAAATAGTCTAGTCTTCCCCTGTGTTCCATGCGGTTCAATTTTCCCCTCCCATGGTTCCACGGTCTTGTGTTCTTGTGCGCTCGTTTGTTTTGGATATTTTGGATTACTGCCTTTTTTGCCACTAGCTTTTTGTTATTTAATAAAGCTCAATTTTATTTTTCGTGAATACTCGTTTGGGAGCTCCACATTTTCACACACCCTGACCCGAATGACAAGCACATGGCCCACGGATTTTTATGATTTTGAGTTGGATCTGTTCGAAAAATGAGTTACTCACATACAGAACTCAGCGAAGTAGGAGTGACCATCTTCAGAAGAGGTACTAAAAATAACACGAAATGCCTTAGGTGAGGAGTTTGTAAGACATGAGTGGACTACAAATTCACAATACTATCCGAAGCTTCTAACCCTTTCCCTGTGTCCACTAAACTGAACCAGATTGGAGGATACATAGGTCAAGAGAAAAGCCTCTCGGAGACGCAGGGCCACGGATTCGCACCCGTGCTCCAACAGCCATGACCCGGCTCGGTTCCGGTTCCACAGCCATTGAATCCATGCACATTAAACTTAACAGTACCGGCCCTGCATGCTAATGTTTCTTGGCTCGATTACCTTGCCCCATCACAGCCATGGTCCAGGCCTCTGTTCCGGTTTCCACGCGGCTCCGGTTCAGCCTCAGACCTTTTCTCACGGAACCCGTCTGGCGTCTGGAGTGCACGGAGCCTCCAAGGTTCTGTAAGATGCAAGGCCAGGATTCCAGCCGTACTCCAGCGCTCCGGCTCCAGTGGCCGGTCCCAGCACCATGGTTCCGGCCCCCAGCAGCCATGGTCCGCCTTAGTCCCTGGCCCCAGCCAGCCATGGTTCCGGCCCCAGCAGCCATGGTCGCCCGACTTCCAGCTTCGGCTCCAGTTGCTGGCCCCCTCGCCGACAGCCAGCCCCTGTGTCCTTGTCCGGCATACAGACCGCTCCAGCAACTCGTCCTCCTGCTGGCTATCCAGCCTGACCCAGCTCCCCCGTGCCTGTCGGCATACCGGCGACTCCAGCACCATCGTCTCCCTGTTGGCTCTCCAGCCGCACACCGAGTCCCCGAGTCCTGTTGGTCGTACCGACCGTCTCAAGTCACCTCCTCCAGTTCCGCTCTCAAAGCCTCCTCTCCCAGTCCCTGCTCGAGTCCTCTCCAAGTTCCTTCTCGAGTCATCTCTCTCAAGTCTCCTCTCCAGTTCCCTCTCAAGTCCCTCTCGAGTTACCTCTTGAGTCCCCTTTCAAGACACTTCTCAGTCCCCTTTCAAGACACTTCTCAAGTCCCCTCTCGAGTTCCCTCTCAAGTCTCCTCTCGAGTCCCCTTTCAAGACACTTCTCGAGTTCCCTCTCGAGTCCCCTCTTGAGACTCCTCTCGAGTTCCCTCTCAAGCCGCCTCTTAGTTTCCCCCTCGAGCCACCTCTCGAGAGCCCTCTCAAGTCATCTCTCAAGTCCCCACTCGAGTCTCCTCCTCGAGTTCCCTCTTCGAGCCACCTCTCAGTTTCCCCCTCGAGTCCCCCGCTTCAAGTTCCCTCTCGAGTTCCCCTTTCAAAGTCTCCTCTCGAGTTCCCTCTCGAGTTCCTCCTCGAGACTCCTTTCGAGTTCCCTCTCTTAAGTCCCTACCCAATGTGCTGGTCCCGTTGGAGGCCCCGACGACACTGTTCTGCAGGGGGTCCTGCAACCCTATGTCCTGTGCCGTTGGAGGCCCCGACGCTACAACCGTCACCAAGCCTTGTCCTGTGCGTTGGCCCGACGACTACCTTCTGCGGTGGTCCTGCCAACCCTATGTCCTGTGCCGTTGGAGGCCCCGCCGACTACTCTTCTGCCGGGGGTCCTGCCAACCCTATGCCCTCGTGCCGTTTGAGGCCCCCGCGACTACTCTTCTGCGGGGGTCCTGGCAACCCTATGTCCTGTGCCGTTGGAGGCCCCGCCGACTACTCTTCTGCTGGGGGTCCCTGCCAACCCTATGCCCTGTGCCGTTGGAGGCCCTGCCGACTTACTCTTCTGCCGGGGGTCCAGCCAATCCTATGTTCTGTGCCGTTGGAGGCCCCGCCGACTACTCCTTCTGCCGGGGGTCCTGCCAGCCCTATGTCCTGTGCAGTTGGAGGTCCCAACCGACACCTGTTTCGTCGGGGGGTCCTGCCAACTCCATGTCCTGTCCCGTTGGGGATCCCGCCGACTGCTCTTCTGCCGGGGGTCCTGCCAACCCTATGTCCTGTTCCGTCCAGGGTCTCGTCTACGCCGGACCCGTCAGAGATTCCACCAACTACTGCCTTGACCCCGGGCCGTCCGCCCGAGGACTCCATCATGGACTCCGCCTTGCCCCCGGGCCGTCCGCCCGAGACCCCCTCCTTGGTCTCTGCCTTGCCCCTGGGCCTTCCGCCCGAGACCCCCTCCTTGGTCTCTGCCTTGCTTCCGGGCCGTCCGCCCGAGACCCGTCCTCCAGACCCCCTCCACCCACCCTTTCTTGGCCCTAGTTATCTGGTCCTCCTCCCTGTCGTTAGTTTCCCTGGTGTGTCTGATTGTGTTCACCTGTTGCCCTTGTGTTTCTCCCTCCCCTGCCCAGCTGTGTCTTGTCCTGTGATTACCCTTCTGTGTATTTAGTCTAGTCTTCCCCTGTGTTCCATGTCGGTTCATTGTTTCCCCTCCATGTTTCCACGGTCTGTGTTCCTTGTGCTGCTCGTTTGTTTTTTTGATATTTTTGATACTGCCTTTTTTGCCACAGCTTTTGTTATTTAATAAAGCTCATTTTTTGTTAATACTGCTTTTGGGTCCTACCTTTTCCACGCACCCTAACACACATCGGATTGAAATATAAGAAAGTATGAAGAGAATCTGCTTTGTGAAGCACAGTAGGGAAGATAAATCATGTGTGAGAGATGTAATCCACCAAATCATGCCACTAAATAGTCTCCAGCCACAGTTCTACTTGGACTGTTCCTCTTTCTGAGAAGAATAAGCTTTTACACAAAACTACAATACTTGGATATTACAAGGTCACCCTAAGTGAATAGTTTGGTTAAAACTTAAATTAAGAACAAATGTGGACTCATTACTATTAAACTGCCAAGATGACTTATACAGTTATCCATAAGATGTATAAGTCATGTGTGAAAAAGCTCTATTGTGTCACTATTAATTGATGCTGAAGTTTACTCTGAGCTATCATTCACCCTGACATTTCACAACAGGCGTCCAAAAGAAGAATAAAATCAATAAGCCTACACTTTGTATGCACTCATTTATATTCACATCTGACACCCCAGAAAGGTTTCATAAAATTATCAATTTGATATGCCTCTCAATACAAAATATTCAAACAATTGGATTTATGTTTGAACACAATTCCACAAATTCTACAGTCTTGAAACATACGGCCACCATTCAACAATGAATACAAAAGGTATTTAACATTACAACCTGTAAAGTGATCTCTGTTATTTGAACAACATTGTGTTGTGTTTGTTGGCAATTGCTTCCACAGTTATACAACTTCTGATACGATCAAAGTCCTGCAGACAATTACTGTAGTTACCCCGGTGAAAAGGTTAAAAAAATATGCTGCTCTGTTAACGTGCTGTTCACACTTCACCACCTGTGTTGACACGTTGTTACCTTTCGGCTAGAGTTAATTGTTTGTTTTGTTAAAACCTAGGGCACAACGATCACATTTGATAAACTCATGTACAACTGCCATAAACATTGAATTGAGGACTCACCATCTGATGTTTATAATGTTTTGTTTTTTTAAATGTTTAAGCTTTTGCTCCATATTCCACTTTATACAGTGAGCACAGCTGAAAATCATTGCATCGTTCAGCTAACAAAGACAAACTGACCTTTGAAATATATTAAGATAAATAACAACTCTCAGAAAGTACATACGTAATTATTCTGCAAGTCTCCAATGCTGCAATGACAGGCTTACATTTATTTCTATAAACAAATCATTAAACAAACCACAACCTAGTTCGACAGATAAATACTTTAGACCACCATTCCCAAAACACGCACTCATATACCTGTACTGTATCTTCACCTCCTTGCTGTGTTTGTATATCCTCGGAAAGAGTCCCGCTCTCACTGCTGCCTGACTGAGTTTCTTCTCTTTGCCTCCGCTGTGCACTCACAACTGGCACAGCTCTCTTCCGTTTCATCGGCCAAACAGCCCAACTGCAAGGGCAGAGGGAGGGAAAATGAGGGGGAAACAAAAAAAAAGAGAGGAGAATACAACCAATGGATGGGAATGAGAAGAAAAGGAAAAGAGAGACCGATTGCTTTGATAACGTAGTTTGTCAGGAGCTGCATTCTTCCTAAGCCATTGTTCAGAGTAAAAAGTGCAGAGTTAAACTAATTTAATTTCACATTCCCTCAGTGCTGCCATTTCCTTTTCTATTCATTTGTTCGCAATTCAGCTTTTGAGCTCCAAAATACGAGCCAGGCTGCTGTGCACTTACAACACAATGCATGTAGGATCTCATTGAAGCACTAGACAGACACAAGACATTTGAAGTTTCCAATAAGATGCAGGAAAACAAAAGAATCATGGAATACTTCAATAGATGAGAGTTGGATAGATGTCAAACAACACTGACTTACAATTATTAAAACAAAGACGGCAAAAGTCTAAAGCTAGACCAAGGGGGCTTGATACACTTGCAACTGTCAGCTTTAGTATCTCAGTACAGAAATGCCAAAGATATATAAAGTAATTTAAAAACAGTGTCTGCAACCATTACATGTCTTCAAAAACGGAATAACGTGCAATGTATCGTTTGCAGGTTTTTAAAACGTTCAAATATCTCTGGACTTGATCAATGCTGATGATAGGTAACATTATTTCAACAACCATTCCGTTTGCAAAGTCATATAATCACCTTTGAAAATCAGCTAAGTTCATATTAATGAGGTGTTGACATTATTTCAGCAACCCTCTACGTTTCTGTACTTGACAACAGGAAGGTCAGAGCTGAGGAGAAGTCAGCTCGATACCCTCGAGGTTTGAGAATTTAGCAACTTCCACAAAAAATGTGCTGACACAGGGACTTGAACCTGCATCTACCGCTGAAGGACACTCTCCCTGCTGACTATACACCCTGCTGTCCAAAAGGTACATTAGTCACATCCCAACATCACCTTTGAATACACGGATCCTTTCCTTAAAATAGAAAACACCAACACCATGTGCCAACATTTCAACACCAATAGTCAATTATAGTCTGGACATCCAAGCCAGATTTAATCCATATCAAAATAGTGCTGAGTGACATTAGGCACCCCATAATGTGACCTCTATCATTGCTGCTCACATGGATTTGTGTTTGTATAAAAAGTTGTATATTGCACAAAGAATCATTGTGCTTATAGACAGGTCCCTTAAAGAGCCTGTGACACGAGTTTCCCCCATCATCCAAACCCATCAATTTTAGTAAATATTGTCCCCTTGAAAACCGTTACTGAACTGATTTTGGATATTTGTACTTTGATAACCATTAATCTGCCCTTCAATGTTGACAATTTTCTGGATCTTCTCGGGATTCTTCAAGTCCCGCCAAATGATGTGTGACGTCATTGCAGGCACAGCGCTCCAGCTGCACCATTCAGGATCCCAGCATCCGCATGTAAACGCACGATGGCGCACACAGCAGCAAGCTCAGACAGCGATGACAGTTTAATTTTGAACGTGTCTGAGAGCTCATATGAGGCTAAAGGATCGGTTTATGTTGTATCTGTTAGAAGTTTAGGAATTAGGTGCGTCAATATCATAGACTGTATAGGTCAATATGGGCGATCATACGGTCATGTAGCCCGGCACTCTCGACCGGCCCACTTCGGTACCGCTAGTAAATTGTCAAGGGGGGGAGTGGGGGATGTGCTTGTGACTTATCCGACCGGCCCACTTCGGGATTCGTCCCGATGGCCAGTCCGCCACTGCACCCAGCCCAGCCCACGTAAACTGCCAATGGGGTGAGCCTCGCTGCGGGGAAACGGTGGACCATAGTGTCCCGATCGGAGTGGGAATAATAATAATAATCCGTGCATTTTATCCATTAATTTCCCCAACATTGTGGTAAAAAAAAAACACACGTTTAATCCATGTTGGTGTACTACTACAACTACAAAAAGCATTGGTTTGTTTTCTCATCAGGAAATGCAGACCGGCTCAAACAAACTATTTTTAAATCATCATCCTCACGATCATTTAATGTATCATATGTTCGCCGAATTGAAATGAAAGCACTAATAATAAGTTTCATCCACTTGAGTTTACAACTACAAAAATAATCGATTGGTTTTTATATCACATCCTACGGAGGAAATTCAGCAGCTCTCACTACCGATTTTTAATCCTAATTTAATCATCATCTTCACCAAGATCATTTATGTTTATGTTCGCCGAATTGACATGAAAGCACTGACAAATACGAATATACTTTCAACTTCATTAAAACGTTATTAACGTGCCTAAACTCAGTAATTCACAATTTCTACGCATGACAACACACTTTGTCCGTGTTTGGCTCTCTCGCCGCACAGTGAAGCATTCCCGCATTGACGTCACTTCCGGCTTCCCCCAAAACAACTTCAAAATGAGTCGAAGGAATTTCCCCGCGATGTTCGAAATTATTGATATTTATCGGAACGGTATCGCACCTTCTTTTTTAAACTGACGGTTCGAGATGACTAGTAGCCCAATATTTTTATTGCACAACAGTTGTTGGGGTGCTGTCACAGGCTCTTTAATATTTAAGTTTATCTTTAATTGATTGTTTGCTGAACCCCCTACCCCAAAGAGAGATGGTCCCAACCTGATCTCACCAGGTGCATTAAACTGGTTTTAATTCAACAGAGGACAGGCTGCTTCATATCACACTTTTACCCAGGCAATGAGCCGGATTTGTGGGTAGGCTGAGGCATTAAACTGTTTTAATCCGACAGCCGCTGATCCGCACGGAAGTCTGGCCGTTTCGTTAACATTTGAATGGCCAATAGTTAAAACGCCGGCCTGGAGCCTGTGCAGGACCCCAGTGAGAGCTCCAGACTGTGTGCACTGTGTTAGGGAACCATATGAACGGTGTACATGAGTGTTAAAAGTGCATT